TATTGCGCACATTTCTCCGTTCGCTTAAGTAAACCCAGCATCAACAGCTCTCATTTTACACTACTTTGCGACGCAGCCTTGCAAAAGATCGCACGTTGCACGTTAGTTGAACTCCCCACTCTTGTACAGCACAGCATGTAATGATTAACTATAAGAGCGGCGGCACCTTCTTATACATCCTCCAATCTTGCTACCATAAAGTGAACACCCAAGGCGTCTTCTGATGCTGGTATTTGTGGTGACGCACAGCAGATAGCAGACAGGCTTCTTTCAATCTAGGCTGATAAGACTTAGAAAAAGTCTGCGCAACAATCATGCATGACTTACAAACGGCGCTATATCCCAAATCAAGTGGTTGATCTAAAATGATTGAAAAATGACGCAAATAGATCCTCGCAATAAATGCGACATAGGTCAGAATCAAGTCATGACCGACGTAATTTGTAAGAATAGTAATTACATGAAAGAAACGCTGCTGATAAAAATTAAGACTGTAAATTAGTCAGATGTCAATAAATGGCACGGTGACTTTTTTCTCTCTCCAAAGCCTCCCCTTCTTCTTCTCACCATTGTCAATTCTAATAAAGTGACAAGACAAATCTCATTTTTCTGTCAAACAGAGTGAGTCATACAGTTTCAGGCACAAGCTTTGTGATTCTGCTCAGATGAGGAGAGCAGGAGACAGCAGGATTAGCAGTGTGGCAGGCTGCCATCTAATGGATGCAGAGAGAACGGTCTCCCTCGGGGGGCTGTGCCTCCAGTCGCACAGCCCCCTAACTTTAGGGTCCGTGATTCAGGAGTCCTTAAGCAAGACGCTGAACTCCAAGCTGCTCTGGATGACTCCAGGTGGCACGGATCATTCTGCATTTTCTTCCTTGTTTATCTTTGTTTCTCAAACTGATGACACTGCAGGATTTCAAAAGTTTCCCATGGCAAAAAAACGGGTCTGACCGAACAAGAAGAAAACTGCAGAATTATGTAACCCGTTTGTGTGAATGAAAGCTCTGGGACAGAGAAAAACTCTCTCACATGTCACACTGGGGAGACCTTATCACTCCTGTTAATGGGTTGATGGAGGGAGGCTGAGAGAATCACTGCTGACCCACCAAAAACTCACCCCATCTCAAACATTCTCACAGAAATGGGGAAAAATGGAAGCGCACACGCCTTTATTGTTAAAAATCGGTTTTGTAAAGGTAGAGCATTTGTTTTATGGTGTTTAAAAGGGAAACATAAAACATACTCCAGTAGAGTTAAACGCGGGAAACATGAGTTTCTCTAAATACTCAGATATTTAGAAAAGTAATTTCTGATCTGTCATTCCTAATCGGTAACAGCTGTATGTATCTGTATGAGCATTTTCTATAACAATAACCCCAGTCTGTTTCAGGAATGTAATTATATTAGTACTTACAGGAAGGCAAATGCTGCAAAGTGGTAAACAAAGTACAAGCAATACAGCAGAGAAATAACAAATCACCCACATTTGCAAGATCCAATTAGAAGCTTAAGGCAAAGACAAGTGTGCATGCTGAGACATGAAGATGTCGAGACCGCTTTCCTTGTAACTCGTGGCTTGGAAACTATGCGTTTGCTTGTGAGAAAACAAGTCAGAAAGAAAAGGGAGATAACGACAAGGTGATGATCAGGCGAGATAGTATTTCAGCTGTTGCTGTCAGTTTTTTGGGTGAAAGCAAGAGAGACAGAAAGAAGGAAAGGAAGATCTGTGTGAAAATGAGGAAGACGCTCTGAGTGTCTGTGCGGGGGTCACACAGAGAGAGTGAAGGAAGCAGATATGGAGGAAGGAAGGAGATAAAGGTAGAAGGAGGGAACATTCCTTGTGGCTTTGCTGGGGAAGATGAATTATTCAGAAAGTTTAACGCACACAGTTGAAACTACCCCTCGAACTGCTTAATAAATCCTGTCGTTCAAAGTATTATTGACATGTAATAGAGCAGAACTATACCACTACAACAGAATCTTATCACGATTACAAGGAAGAACATCCATGGAAACATTTATGGAGTAGACGGTTTTTTATGTTTGCTTTTGTTTGTTTGCTTTTTTTACACAATGACTATTATTAGAAGTAGGTGAGTGTGTTATATATGATCAGATGTGACGTTACTTTCTTTATGATCGCTCTGAAATCAATGCTGAGTATCTGGGCAGGGTTCTGATCGCCACCGCAAGAGTGTGAAAAGGAAACTGGTGCTCTTCTAAATGTCCTCTCTCATGAGAAAACTGTCAGCGCTGAAGTCTTTAACGTCGGGTTACTCCGTTAAAAAGCTGTTTAGGAGTTACCCATCTGAGCGCATCTGAGGTGCAGGTTAGTCTGGAAGTTAAAGTCTTATTTCACACTCACCGCAGCGACCCGCCGTCGTGTCTCGTCTCGTCTGCCTTTACAGTGAAGTACTGCTCGAACTTGCTCAGGTAACGCTACTGCATTTATCCATTTTTATTGCTGCAAATTAGTCACTTACTTTTAGACTTCAAACTCTGCTGCATGCAGAGGTCCGTGCCCTTCCGTCACTGCGACGTCAGCCAGCGGATCACATGGCAGGAAGCGAAGCCGCGAGACGTAAACAAGCTCACTACGCCGGCCACGAGGTCTGTGGCAGGCCAGCTTCACGCCCGGTGCAGCTGAGTGCACCTAGCTGGCTGCTGAAGCGCCTTTGTACCTTTTTACTATTCGATTGATCTGGCACGTACACCTGATTCCGTTTGTTTTGTTTATCTGTCATTTATTTAGGTCACTTAAACTTATCGGCGGTGATATGGTTCTGTTTTTTCCTCCACGTTTTTGGTTAAAACTACGTTTTATGGACTGTCAGTCTGCGCTCACCTTGCTAGTACTGGATCTTTTGCATTAACACGTGTTCATAATTCAGTTAATACGTGGCATAGATTTATTTAGATTTATGAATATTTAATAATGTGATGGAGTCATTCCTGTGAGATTTTTGGTCCGTATTGACACGAGAGCGTCACACACGGTTGCTGCAGAACTGTCGGCTGCACGATCAAACCCTGGAGATGACTGCGTGGGAAAATCCCTGCAGATCAGCAGTTTCTGAAATACTGGGACCAGCCCATCTGACACCAACCATGTTCAAAGTCACTTAAATCACTTTTTTTTAACCTCATTCTTATGCTTAGTTTGAACTTCTGCAGGTTGTCATGAGCATGTAAACATGCTTAAATGTTGCTGCCATGTGATTGGCTAAATAGATATTTGTGGGGTACCTTAAAAAGTGGCCAGTGAGTGTATGCTACAGACCATCAGCCATCGTTGTGAATTTGTCTATGTTTGAGTCCAGTATTGAAAAAAAGTGGAAGATTTTACAAGAAAAAGAACAAAGTTTTAAATACTTGCTTGCGTTAAGACTACTAAATTTGTTTTGCGTTCCTTTTGTGCCCCTTCTCAGAATATTAGAGGAAATTTCTTTTCACAAAGTAACTTCATCAGCAGATTTGCATCATTATAAGATCAAAGTTTAAGAGATGCTCAAATAGTTCTTTCCCTGATATGCCATCTGACCTGATTGCAGTGCTTTTTTCCCCATCCTTATCTCAGCATTAACAATAAAACAAGAGCAGTGCAGTGGTATCTGAGGAATTTTACGAGAGCGATCTTTTAGCCAGTCCTAATTTGCCCTGTTTGTTTCCTTGCACGAGTCGCACACATAGTCTTTTTTCACTGAGTGTGTCTTTCTATCTGGAATTTAAACCTCTCTTTTACTTTCCACTGTCATCTTGTGCAACTCTTTAGATCCAGAAAAGTTCAGTTACACTCATAAAAGGTCTTGTGCTTTAACCAAACAAGGCTTTCATGTTAATGCCTCACATCTGAGATTCCCGCAGCTTGTTTTTGTGTCTCTCTTAAAGGGTTAAAGGGTTTCCTCACAAAATATGAATCATTCACAGTTCTAATACAAACAAAACCGCTTGAGTGGTCACACTTTCATGTAGCCCATTTATATTTTCATTGGCAGGATGTCTTGGTAATGAGGTCCCAGTCACATTCTTATCCAGACGCTCATTTGGTTTAGCCTCAATCTCCAGTCCTCTTAAATAGTCATGGCCTTTTTGGGTAATCCTCACCTTCGAGCCCTGGAGATGTTTCTCTTTATCTTTGGAGTGTGAGTCATGTGTCTGAGGAGCTCTGGCATGTTGGTACATAGCTGAAGACAACAGTTAGTAGGTTAAAGGAAGTTGCTGGTGGGGTTTTCCAGATAACCGGCTGGGTAAAAGGTTTACGTAATCTTAACCTGAGGTAGCAACAAGGGACACATTACAGGAAAGTGAAAAACACCACATCAATGTTTTTATTTTCATTAAAACATCCCAATTATGTACTTGGTACACAGCATGTGATCGTCCCGATTTACAAAACACTGACTTATTAAATCATTTTGTTGAAATGGCAGGAAAGCATTCAAGTCAGTGCAAAATTGAGTGTAGGATAGCAGATTTGCCACACAGACTCAGTGTGACAGCATTTCATGAAAAAAGTTACTTTGAGCCACAATTAAAATGTCTAGAAATATGACTTTTATCATTTTTGTGCAGGCTAGCTCAGGGATATTAATTATTAAGGCATTTAAAGCAGAAAGGATCCAATTCTATATTTGAATCTGTTTATAAGCATAAGCAAATCTGTTTACATTTATCAAGATTAGCAAGACAAAGTAGAATTGCACGTGTTTTTGTTGGAAATGAGTCCCGAGATTTTCCTGAACCTGGAAACATTTCTGATGTGACTAATGTGAATGGCCTGATATTAATTTTAGAGTGAACATAGAAATAATTAGCGGTACCTGTTTTAGTGCATACAAATATACAAGTTTTTTTTTATATCAGTAATAAGAACATGAGCCTATTGTTTAGTGTTTTTAGCCATAAAGATTCTGTCAGTGGCCCCACAGTTTTTCTGATATTTCCAGTGCATAACACATTTATTAGACTACCTGCTATTAGAAAAACAAAAGAAAAATATTTTTGAAATATGCCAAAAAGCTCATTTAAAACAAGTTTTTTAATACCCACACTGAGGATGTCTGTAGGAAGTCAGAAATTAATCAAGCATGACGTTCAAGCAGTAATTGTTCTGTTCAGGAATGCAAGTAAGTAACTGTAATTTAATCAAATTTAATTAAATCATAAACTAATGATGCCTTTACTCTTTTTATTCTATTTTTATAACAGTAAATTTGAAAATAATGCCAACAATATTTATATTTTAGCATTAAAAATATGATCTTAATTTAAGAGCACACGTTTAACTATTACAGAATCATTAAAGAATGATTTTGGTAAGTACCAGAACTGTTAATTTATAACAGCTATGGCATAAACCTTACACTGGCCGGTGGTCTAAAACATGTGCTCAGCACTGTGACTTTTTGCGTCTGAGCTTTGCTTGCACAGAAGACCTCATACCCCACAATTCATACGTCATATATGCCACTCCAGATAAGATCACATTTGTACACTTGTGCATTCCAGTTATGACTTTGTTAAAGCGTTATGTAAAATCGAAATCTGCACTCTTATTAAATCACCAGTGTAATTCTGAGTTGTAGTGCTTACAAGATTATACATGTCACCAGTTTAGCAAGCGTTATGTATGAAGGTTTACCTTTCAGGCTGATTTTCAGATTTTACTATGGAGGAAGCGACAGTTGTAGTTAGCTGATTACACTTAATTAAAACCAAAATGAATTAAGCAGGTCAAAGGCATTGAATAAAGTGCTACGTAAAGACGAGCCTGATGATGTCAGAGTCGTTCGGCAGGTTGGACCCGTCCCGGGCCTTCGGCGTCCACAAGCGCATTCTGTCATTTCGAGTAGTGGGCGAACGGAGACTCCTCATTCACTTTGCCCTGAGAGTTCACAGAAAACAAACAACCCATTCACAGTTAACCAGCAGTTAGCGTGGTGATAAAGTGCCTGCACTGAATGTCCAGTACCTGCTTTACCATCTGAACTAAAGTACAATGTGTTCTGTTTTTTCTTTTTTCTTTTATCCGATTACAGTGAATGCCTGCATTCTTTTTCCCGTTCAGATTAACAATAGGTGAAGTCTTCGCTGTCCTGCTTTAGGCATATTAATGTAATTAACGTTAAGGACTGACAATCAGCTGACGGAGTCAAGCGTCTAAAAAAATCGTCTTTTTACCCGTTTTAAATGTTAAATTAGTGAATGTCAGAAGGGATTACCATGTGAAGATGAGGTTGAGAAACTCCTGGGAAGGGAAGCTTAAATGTTTCATACTTATCTTATTCTCTTTTCTCATAATGTCAGGAATAATCAAAAGGAAATTGCTAAGAATGTGTGAAGAAAAAATTGCTAAGAATGTGGTCATGGACATTATCTAGATCATATTATCCGATTTCTACAGGGGATTGTTTGTCATTTATTAACCCTGCAAGTTATCATTAAGTCCCGACCTGCTCATTTTGGAGGATCAGTTGTTTTTCAGCCCATGTTGTCGGATATGTAGCTCGTACGGTATAAAGTACACTCCAGCACAATGCCCAGTCATGCAGCAATAAAGATTTACACTCGTAGAACACCTTTTAAAGAACACTGGTCCGTACAGCGCTGCAGGTCTTGTTTTGCAGCGGTTACCAGAATAGCAGTATTTTATTCTATTTCACACATATTGACAGCCTCATTGTGGGTCATCTGAAAAGTCTTTGTGATATTGTCTCTGCACACTAGATACATACATGAACTTGTAAGTGCTCCGTAAGTGTGAGAGAGAATGTTTGCTTTTCAGAAATCTCATTCTTGATTAGACCCTTGCTGCTGAGTTTGAGATATGCCAACAGTTTAAAACTATCTGGCGACGCACTGATACGGCTCTAATGATAGCTTCTCTTGAGAAATAGTCACCACACTTTTCACACACAATCCACTCACACTTCCTGTTCGTGTAAATGAGAAACCACTGTCCTCATTACTAAGGAGACAGGAACAAGAAGAAGACGACATTTAATGCTGGGAAACTTTTACGTGTTACTCATGGTGGGGGGCTGACAGTTAACATCCCCGTGAAGCAAAATCCTGGAACGTGTTGGCCTTGCTCCAAATCCATGTTACGGGCAAATCCATGTTTTCTACGTGTTAACCAGCACCTGCCTCCCCCTGCTGGGATGAGTAACCTACAGCAGGCAGAGCCTCATACTGTTACTCATGAATTATATTCTTGAAACAATATTCAAGAAGTTTGTCATTTTGTGTGTTTCAGTGTGATTTTTAAGAGGTATACCAGACCTACAGTAAGATTAAGATTAGGATTCACCCTCTGCAACTGTGAATATCTGTCACGTTTTCTATCTCACCATCGGCATATCTTCGAGCCTCTCAAAATTGGATCTCGGCGATCGGATACATTTCACTGTGAGTACCACGAGAACGAGGGCGAGGACGATACAGAAGATGCAAATGATAGCGACTAGGCCGGGGTTTGACGCCAGGTCATCTTTTTCCCAGTCGGGTGAAAAACCTGAGGGGGGACAAACAGAGAAACGATGAGATAAACAAATGCAATATTTGCTGGACACAGCTGAAATTATACTAATGTAAGAAGAAATCATATTTGCTTTGCACAAGTCACACCATTGGTTTTATGCCTCATTTATTAATTGACTTAAACTGCCCAGGCAGTTGTTTGTCACTTATGGATATAGTTGTTTTTCTCATCACAATGCTTATCCAGTTTATCACAAGCCAGTATTCTTTGTGTTATTGTTCTTTTCAATAGATGCAGCCTTCCAAAAACGTATAATCATGATAACAGCTGAGAAGTCAGGGACCTCCGTGAGAAGTTCAGAGCCTTCCGTTAATCCTGCAGCACTGACCCTGTTCATGCCTCTGGATTAGCCATTTAACAACATAGACGAGATGAACTGCAATGACCGGAGGCAAATAAAGCAATGGTAAGTTCTTAAAGATTGTGGGACTTTAGTAGCCCTGAACTTTAGAAATTGTCAAATTTGGTTAAACTGCTTAAAAATGGCCTTCTCCTGTATGTTCTGCTTGAATAGACACCAGCAGGCTATCGTTGGCAGATCCAACACATAGGAATAGAAATGCATTTCACTGCAAATAGTTTAGTTTATTCGTTTTATCTTTATAGGCTTTGAGCTTTTTAGCTAATGGCTCTTTGAGAATCAAAGTGAGGCAGCAGTTTGCTGATTTCTGCCTTGTGACTTTCATATTAATCAGCCTAGTAGTTTAGATGCTTTCTCCCTGCTGAAGACAATAGACAAGAGGTTATTCATATTTAAGCTCTAATTTGGCAGTTTTTTTCCTTCTTTTTGTGTTTGTTTGTGTCCTAGATGGCCTGACTCAGCGGGTGGGGGTAAACGCTGTTTCTGAGTTTGCCTTCGCCCAAGCAGTGCGTGCAGAAATGTCTCCGCTACCCTTCAGAAAACATGGGTGGTGCAGGATGCCCGATATCCAGTTTGATCCCCGAGTAAACTAAAAAAAATAAGTGACCTGTATCCAATACATGTAACAAAGAAACTTTTTTAAAAATATAATAAATTACTTTGTAATTGATACAGAGATGTCATTTTTATTACATAATGCCAGATGCTTCATTTTATAGGGATATTATTATGGACATGACAAATTGTAAGTCAATGTCCAGCATTTTATGGGTTTCCTATTTGTGGATCATATACAATTGTCTTTTTTGCAGGTTTAAGTATTGCTGGTAATTTGCAGCGGTTTTTTATTAATACAAATACCTTTTAAGTACTGATTTTTAATCATGACTTTATTGTTTCAATAGTAACCAAGGGTGCAAAAGTGATGGAAAATCGACATCAGAGTTCAACAGTGATTCAATATCAGAATCTGAGATTGTTTCAATATTAGAAAAGGGTGCAAAAGTGACGTTGGGTCAACGTCAGATTTCAACGTTGATTCAATAGAAGCACCTGATATTGAACCAATGTTTAGTCAATGTCTCCTTGCTATCTGGGTCTTGTCATCAAAATTTCATTGAAACCTGAGAAGAAATCCACCATAACATGCAAATGAATTCAATCTTCTGTGCACGCAAAAGCATTTTGTTTGCTTTAGGTCATAAAGTGTGGCACTGCTATGTATAAATTTGTCTATCTGTATTGTTTCTCACTGTCCTTGAACCCCCAAAAGTGCATTAATTTCTTTTAAAATGGCAAAAAAGAGCAGACTGGATGTTTTTTGACCTGTGTCGGTTGTGTTCACAGTGGTGGTTGCAGTGATGTTTGGTGATGCTGATGCAGATGGGAGCGTTGTTTCAGTTGGTAAAGCTGTCTCATTTGATGTCTGGTTGTTTGCTGTGGTTTGAGGAGGTGGGCTGGGGGTGGTGTCGTCTGTCTGCAGCGTTTTTGGTGAAGCTGAAGTGATGACGGTCGTGGACTGCACTGTCGTTTCAGCTGTAGTTGGATGTGTTGTCGTTTCAGCTGTAGTTGGATGTGTTGTCGTTTCAGCTGTAGTTGGATGTGTTGTCGTTTCAGCTG